GGCAAGTCCATTCCTCTTGTATATGAAGCACTGTAAACTCTGCAAGGAGGGAGGGAGGAGACACAAATTCTTTAGGAGAGATCTTAATTTCAACAGCAAATTTACAGAGAAGAGCATCTTGTACAATCTCATGGGATCTACAGCAATGCTAAAGGATCAAAAATGGTGGCCCAGATGACAGTGTCCAGTAAAAAGGAATGTGAATTTGATGAGGCTTTCACTACTTCCTGTCTGGTGTATCGTGAGACAGTGCTGCTGGAAAGAGTGCTTTGTCACAGATGTCAATAATCCTCTTGGCATCTCCAAAAACATTTTGGCTTTGGAATTTCCTGAACAGATCACCTTAGGGAAATGGCAGCATCTCTGTGTCAGGCTTGTGCATCTTCAGGGTGATGAGAACTGAAACTCAAATTTCTGTGTATTCTCTTTCCCTCTTCCCTTAGGACCACATCCCAGCTACCCCATAGCCAAAGAAAGAAGTCCACTGTCTCAGTTAAAACAGCTGTTGCATTTACGCAGTCACATCAGCCACCTTCTTTCTAGTTTCAGACCTTAGCAGAACTGAACTGGGATATATTTTCCTTTCACTGTCAACCCTGACTCCTTCTATCACCATCTTTGTTCCTCCTGGGATTCCTGAATCCAGTATCTTCATGTTGCCTGGAACCCAGTGCTAGAGGTACGACTTGGGCCTGCTCCCACTCATCCCCACAACTACAAGCTATACCTTTTCTCTTCCATGCACTACCAATTATCATGTATCTTATTCCTCTGGACTCTCAGTCAACAGCATGTTGCATCAAATTATGAAATAGGAGGTGATTTGGGGTGGTAAAGGATACAATGATTAAAACTGAAGCAAGTGTTCCTTAAGTATATAACTGCCGTATATAATTTTAATGCCTTATAATTCACTCAACAACTCTATGAGGTGGACACTGAATTTATCCCCATTTTATAGGTGATAAAAACTGAGGTTGGCAGCAATGAAACAACTTCCCCAAGGTCAATAGTTAAGAAATTAGTAGAGCAATGATTTAAACCCAGTGTGCTTGAATCCAAAGTCTGAGCTATTAGTCATATCTTCATTCCAGGTAACCTTTGAACAACCTGGAAATTTTTAAAGATATAAACATGAAGGAATAACTCGCTTTCCTTGAGCCCAGAAACTTGGAACAATGAAATCAACCTGGGTTACTACCATCTCAAAGTGGCAAATCAACACATTCCTTAAACAAAATTAATGTAACCCTAATTTAAACACACTAATGGTATGGATAAGTTAAGACTAGCAAACTGACCCTCCTATGATAATAGCTCTAAACTCTGGGGGAAATATAACAGGCAATTACCTGAGTGCTCTGGAAACTGAATAAAGTTAGACAGATTTTGCAGAGGCATCAAAACTTAGAAGAAATGGCAGGTATTGAATGAATTTCCCAATTATGGGACTTTGCTATGAGAATATTTGTAGTTGTGGCATGATGTAGAGGGACTAAACCTCTTCAGGAAGGTCTGCGATCTTTCTAGCCAGAGGAAACAGAGTAAGCTGCCTGAAGCAACCAAGGTCACCAGAAAGATGGAGTGAATCTCAGAAAGGAAAACACCAGAGAATGCAAAAGCCAAATACCATTTATGAACTCTGCCAAAATGTTTGGCTGCCTATTAAATTACTCATGTGCAGTGTCCACTAAAATCAGCCTGAACTAGAATCTAGGCTGTTACTCACTACTCATGCTACCCAAAAGAGTTTTCAGTTTGAGTCTAATTAAGCTCATTGCCTGCATAAATAAAAACATCAACAGTCTTCACATAAAATTAACAGAATTCAGAATCTCTAAAACATAATACTTACAGTATTCAAGATTCAAACTGAAATTACCCAACACAAAAAGAAAGGCAAATGTCACCCATTCTCATGGGAAAAGATAATTGAGTCTAATCCCAAAATATTCCAGTAGTTGGAATAAACAGCAAGAACTTTTAAAACAACTATAATAACCACGATCAATGAGGTAAAGCAAAATATTCTCATATGAATGAAAACCCAAGCTGTCTCAGCATAAAAATAGAAAATATTTAAAAAGAATAAATGTAATATTAGAATTGAAAAGTACAATATCTGAAAAAAATAACTTGAAGGGCTTAGGAAAATGTCAGTGAACTTAAAAATACTTTAATAGAAAATATACAACCTGAAGGAAAAAAATATTTTAAAAATTAAGACACTCAGAGAAGTGTTAGACAATATAAAAAGTTCTTAACATACTTGTCACTGAAATTGCTGAAGGAGAGGAAGTAAAAATGGGTATAAAGAATAGTTAAAGAAATAATGCTTTAGAACTCTCCACATTTGATAAGATACATAAATTTACAGATTCAACAAGCTCAGCAAATTTCAAATAGGATAAATATGATGAAAACCACACCTAGGAAAACTATATTCAAACTGTTCATAATCAAAAATACTGAGAAATTCTTGAAGACAGTCAGAAGCAAAAGACACGATATAAGGAAAAGAGCAAATGAGAAATCATGGAAACCAGAAGACACTGCAAGTGCATCTTTAATGTACTGAATGAGGAAAAAAAATAAAATGTCAACTTAAAACTCTATATGCCTTCAAAGAATGAAGGCAAAATAAAGACTGTTTTGCATAAATAAAACTTAGAAAATCTGTCACCAGTAGATCAATACTACAAGAAATGCTAAAGAAATTTCTTCAAGCTGAAGAAAATGATAATAGAGTGACACTCAGATCTTCAGGAAGGAATGGAGAATATTTAAGGTGATAAACATCTATGTTACTATTGGATTATTTTTACTCTTAATTTCTTTAAAATGCATATGACTGTTTAAAACAAAATTATAATATTTTCTTATGGGTTTATATTCTATGTAGATATAATACCTTTGACAACTATTAATTGAAGTATGGCAAGGAATATGTTAAGAGGAAGTGGTAACATTTTTATATTTTATAGGCAGTATTAAAATGTTAATTCTAAATAGACTGTTAAAATAAAGGACATGGCAGTAGTATTATCCTTAGAGAACCACTAAAAATACAAAAAGCAGAGTTAAAACCAATAGCTAATTAGGATGGAATTCTTAAAAATATCCAGATAATCCAAAAGAAGTCAAAAGGGATAGAGGGGACTTCAAAGAAAAAAAATAAAATTACAGAGTTGACACCAAAAGCACAGTCCACAAAAGGAAAGATTGACAAATTGGAATTCATCACAATTAAAAATTTTTGCAAGGTAAAAGATCCCGTTAAGAAAATGAAAGACAAGCTACAGATTGGGAGAAAATATTTTCAAATCACATATTCAACAAGTACTAGTATGTAGCATATATTAAAATCTCTCAAAGTTCAACAGTAATAAAACAAAAATTCCAATTAAAAAAACAAGCAAAAAACATGAAGACACATTTTACTGCAGAAGATACACAGAGGAAAATAAGCACATGGAAAGATGTTTTACATCATGAGCCATTAGGGAAATGAAAATTCAAACCACAATGATATATTACTACACATCTAATAGAATAGCTCATGTAAAAAATAGTAACTCCATCAAGTTCTGGTAAAGAAGTACATTTCCACTCAAACATTGCTGGTGGAAATGTAAAATGGTACAGCCACTCTGGAAAAGTTTGGCAGTTTTTCACACCACTCAGCTTAGCAATTGTAATTCCTGGTCATTTATTCAGAGAAATGAAAAACTTATGTTCACACGAGAACCTATATACAAATGCTCACAGAAGCTTTATTCATAAGAGCCAAAATGTTGAAACAACACAGATGTCCTTCACGAGGTGAATGGTTAAACAATCTGTGATGCATTCATACCATAGAATACTACTTGGCAATAAAAAGGAACAAACTCTTGGCATACACGACAACCTGGATGAATTTCCAGGGAAATTTACTGGGTGATAAAGCAATTTCAAAAGATTACTTACTGTCTACATGGTATAGAATATCCTTGAAATAACAATATTGTAGAAATAAAGAACAGATTAGTAGTTGCCATGGGAAAAAGAGAGAGTAGGGGGATGAGAGAACTGAATGTTAAAAATGCGTTTCAAAAAATAAATAAAAATATTTTCTCAGATAAGCAAAGACTTTGGGAATTTACTGCCAGCAGACCTACTCTTTAATAATTATTTAAAGAAGTTTTTCAGGCAGAGTAAGATCCGACAGCTCCCAATGGCCAAGTCTGTAATAATTTGTGCAAAAAGAGAATGTTACTATAAGATTATAATCCAAAGAAGAAAACAAATTTCCATGAGTATATACTGATATAAATAATTGTGGAATAAATAAATAGGTGACAACTCCTTACAGAAGGACTCTAATTAGTAAATGTAGAAGGAATGAGGGAAATAGAAACTCACCACTAGAGCACCACAGTAATAATTACTATAGGCAAGATCCACCAATTAATACTAAAATTAGTGAGCAAATGTTTAAGAAGAAATAGGATATTTGGGTAATCTCAAAGTATTTCTCTCCAAAATATTTATTAATTTCAAAGGGAAAAATAGTAACTTTGCAGTAAAGAAATCTGCAGACACTGTCTTAACCAAGTGATAAAAGTTAACATAACCAGTGAAATCATCAAGATATCTTACATAAGTCTAAAATTATTTCAAAATAACAAGTTCTTGAAAAGGAAAAGAGGGGAAAAAGGCAAAAGCTATGAGTAGGCAATTTATAAAAGAACAAGTTTGCCAATTACATGTGAAAATATGCCCAGCACCCCTAATAATCAGAGAAATGCAAAATTTTAAATTTATGAGGTACCATTTTAGATCCACCAAACTGGCAAAAAGTTAAAGAATGGAAACAGCTACTACTTGTGAGAATGTTGAGGTGAGGTGCCCCCAAAATGTTATCTTTCGTTATACGTAGAAATGTGAAAAGTAAAACAGATCAACTTTGTTCTATCTTTTAAAATAAAAAAACCATGTACTGTTTCACCCATCAATACCTCTGCTTGAAATCCATCTAATGGAAATTGAAGCAACAGTTATTGGGAATGTAATGGTCAGATCTTCAACGATATTCATGGCAGAGTTGGTCCAAGTGGTCAACCAAAATCACCACCAAAATCTAAACAAACAAACAAAAACACAACAAATCACTAAAGAATAATAAAAGAAGGAATTAGATCTATCTCAAGAAACTAGGATAAATTTCTAGGAGATTTTTTGAAACAATATGACTTTATTTATTCATTCATTCCAGTCTACCTGTCCTACAACAGGACCTAGATCAAAAGGCAGTTACCATGGCTTATCTGGATTGGAAAGAAGGGTTGATGCAGATGAAAGGACATGCAGAAGAGAAGCAGGGAACTAAGATTATAAAAGAATGCATTTTAAAAATATATCCCCAAAGAAAAATAACATGCCTGAAATAATCTCATATATGTCAAACAATGTATGTGTATGGATATGTACCTAAAGTGGGTGTAAAAATGTCAACAAATGACTATTGGGATCATCTCAGGATGGAAGGATTTTAAGTGAGTTTTTAGGATCTTTCTTACTCTTCTGTGCATTATTGAAATTATTCCAAAGAGCATGTGCTGATTATATAAATAGGAACAATAATAAACTTGTTTTCACAGTGAGGGGGAAAAGAGTCTCAGCGGAGGAGAGTGAATTTCAGACGTGGATGATTCTTATCTGCACAGTCATCCTTCCATCCTCTTATGTCTAGAAACAGGACACATTTTTCTTATTGAACAGTGATACGTGAGACTATGATTTCCAATGGAAAAATACTAAAACCAGTGTTAGACCCTCCGATTCTGTTCTTCTTTATCTATAAGCAAGTGCTTAGTTTTTAATGTCCTATGTGCCTCAGAGTAAAAAGTAATTCCAGACTCTTCTAAATCTTTAAGTGATAAAGTTCATCAAGTTCATGGAGAAATCCTTTGCTGAATAAACATGTAAATATAAGAAATGAAAACAAAAAATCTTTGACAATTCAGTAACAGTTTATTAAAAGATACTTTTCTTTATTTTTCTTCATTAATTCATTTATTCGTCCACTCAATAAACATATTTTACCACCAACTATGTACCAGGCACTAAGCTAGTCCCCAAGGAAAACTAGGTCAAAAAAGGATGATCTCAGAGTTCTGTGGTAATATCAAGAAAATTCCAATTATCTTGTAATAACTTAATGGAGTATAATCTGTAAAAACACTGAATCACTATGCTGTACATCTGAGACTAATATAATATTGTACTATACTTCAATTAAAAATTAAATTAAAATTCTGTTTAAAAAATTCCAGATTATAAAAGTAATAAGTAACACATAAAGGAGGTGTAGTTAATTCACCTTGAATGGAAAGAGGAGGGAGAAAAGGAAGGGAGTAGTCAGGGAGAAACATTTCCAAAAGGAGGTGATGCTTGACCTGAATATGAGTTTAAATATTAAAGCCTGAATATGAGTTTGCTGGATAAAGAAAAGAGAAAAAAGTATTCCAAGTCAAGTGAACAACACATGCAAAGGCACAGAGCTTGGTGAAACATGATACTTTGGGAAAATTTAAGTGGCTCAAGCCAGTGAAAGCAAAGATTATACAAGTGAAGGCATACAATCTGAAGCCAGAAAGAAGACTTTCTGCTTGGAAAGTCTTGATCTGGCTGGATCATTAAGAGACCACTGAATGCCAACTTACGGAGTTTGAGTTTTACCCCGTGAAAGTCAAAGAACTACTAAAGGGACTTTTTAAAGGAGAGGCACAATTACATGTGCATTTTAGGAAAATCACTAAAATTGTGGAAGATGGATTGGAAATTGGCAAAGCTAGAGCAGAGAGACCAGCTAGCACACTATTGTATTATTTCTGACAAGAAAAATAGAGGGAGGGAGGCTTAAACAGTGAATGGAGGAGGGGGCTGTCTGACAAGGGAAGAGAGAGTCATTAGAATCTAAAATTGATATTACCTCACGAGCACTTAGATGCAGGAGCTGATAAAGAGAGTGAGATTGGAAAGAAAATCTCTAGCATAAATGACCATGGAGAAAGTGATGTCATCCACTGAAATGACAAATATGGAAGAAGAAGCAATTTTGAGAGAGGAGTTTAGTGGGACATGTTCAGTCTGCCAAAGCTTCACTTGAAGGTGCAGCAGCAATTGGAAACGTCAAGTAGTTTCCTTTTAGACCACAAACCAGCCATTGCTTCCTAGAAAGCAAGGCATGTTATTCAAATCAAGAATGAGGAATATGAGGAGACTTCCAGGTAAAGTGAGATGGGGAAGGGTCACTGAAAGACAAATTAGGAGGAAGAGATGTATGGGGACAGAGTGGAGGGAAGGGAAGGGGAGGAATGAGTGGCAAATGAAGCAATTAAACTTTTCACTAGCCTCCCTCTCAACTATCAGGTCGTGAAGTTTTCAAAGAGTTATTTGTAAGAACTCTGTTCTTTGGAGGCAGAATGAGTTATTAACCTTCTCTAATTGGAATCTGATTTTCTCTAGAATTCCGTATTTCAGACTAACAGGGTTTCACAGAAGAGTGTACTAAGTTTTGGATGACTGTTTTTATGTTACATGAGTCACTTCTTTAATAACCCAAGTCCCACTCCCACTCCCCATCTATCTCTGCCCTATCTAAGCCACAGAGTCCCAGGGCAGAATCTAGATTGTAGGTCCCTGAAGTTGGCCATGAAGTCTTCCCAAACAAACCATGGTGCTGTGAACTGAATGTTAATGTCCTTCCAAATTTCACATGTTGAAGCCCTGACCCAAAATGTGATCATACTTGGAGATGGAGCCTTTGGGAGGTAATTAGCTTTAGATGAAGTCATAAAGGTGGGGCCCTCATGATGAGATTGGTGGCCTTATAAGAAGAGACTCAAGAGCTTGTTCACTCTCCTCACTGTTCACAAGAAGAGGTCATATAAGCACAAATGTTCTCTTGGACACCTACAAGCCAAGAGAACAGGCCCCAGGATGAAACCTACCCTGATGGCACCTTTATCTTGGACTTCCCAGCTTCCATAATTGTAAGAAATAAATTTCTGTTGTTTAAGCCACCCTGTCTCTGGTATTTTGTTACGGCAGCCTAAACAGACTAAGATACATGGGTGTCACAAATGTCAAGTTTGCCTCACAGGGAATCTGTGTCCCAATCTGATACATGTCCATGATCAGCATCATACCCAATATTAACATTTAATTGCCTTAATCAAATGTATCCTGGTCTTGAGTCTGCACTGAGCCCTCCTGGGCTAAGGTGTTAGGAGGGAGGCCAGAAGACATGCCAGAACAGAGAGATTTTGTTAGGAAACAAGCACATCCTCATGAGAGACCAGTTTCTCTTAAGGCCAAAAAGAATGAGGTAACAAGGATCATAATTCAAATTTGGGGAAGGAGAGAAAATGGGAGCCAGATTCCCCAGTGCTTGGCCACATCTGTGTGCTGTTAACCACATTATAGATTTCCCAAAAAGCCTACTGGGCATCCATAGCACTTTGGTAGGTATGTGATGGTATGTGATTAAAATTTCAACCTTAAGATAGAGGATTTCTCCAAAGTAGACGAGTCCCATTTGCAAGATCCACATGTGTCTTATTGACCTGTGGTGTGTCAGGGGTAATGTGGCAAATGGTGTGTTGCCAATGAGCCATGCAGGGACTTCCCTGCCAGTCCAGTGGTTAAGACTCTGTGCTTCCACTGCAGGGGACACAGGTTCGATCCCTGGTCAGAGAACTAAGACTCCGCATGCTGCACAGCATGGCCAAAAAATAAAAAAAGAAAAAAGAGCTATGCAATGACCAAAAGGCATAAAGGACATGAAGATATAATTCATGGGACCATGGAACTTATCTATTTATTTATTCTTAATACTCATCTTTATTCCATAAAGAATTGTCATCCTTATAACACACACTCTCAAGAGGTGGGCTACAGTTTGATTTTAGCCTTCTTCCAAGCAGTGAAGGGGAAACACTTTTTGGATGACATAAGTCACCATGGTATGAGCCGCGCTTTTTTCTCTCATTTCATTTAAATCCAAACAGCTGTGTTGTGGACAGGAGCCAAATAAGAAAGAATACCTTAAAAATACCTCGATGCAACATGCCAATATAGAAGCATGAGGGAAGACAGGTGTGGGAGTGCACAGCAATGAGTTGGCCAAGATGTTTGAAGCTACCAAGTCTAAACAATTATATGCCAATCATGAATCTAAGCATCAATGTCAGCTTTAACCAGAGACCCTAAAATCTTTGACCACAGAAAAGGATGACAATGATATGGAAAAAATGCATGACATCCACCAGCATAGTCACACACCTACACACATCCTCAACAGCTTCATCCTCAAACACAAGGAATGGTGACAAATGCATCACAAATATGTGTCACAGCAAGAATCCCGTGACTCTCTCAAGTCTGGAGCAGAGAAAACTACAAGTAAATGCATTAGTCACAGTACAATCGGTCAACACCAGCCATTGATATCAGTGCATAGTCTGTATTAATTAAATCTTAAGTGTAGAATATTAAATTAAAAATGTTGATTTTCCCCATTTGTCCTTTAACTCCATACATTTTATCACTTCACAATAGGAGTCCACTTAGGTTATGTTTCTGTAAGTAATCCAAAACAATGATGAATTAATTACCTTTCACAACATAAGTCAAAGCAGATTCTAATTCATTAATACATTTTTATCTCCCTCAACTCATTAATTTACTGAATGCCATTCCTTCCTATAGACAGAATTTCATCTTTAGCTACAACATTTTGCAAGCACCAGACTAACACTGAACAGGATAATTTGCTCTTGAATCAAACTTTGCTGAATAAGTCAAATTGTCCAGCAACTAGAATATGTTTTAAAAGTAAATCTGGAGAGGAAGCTTGACTATTCTGTATCTTTGTCAAGTAGCATTTTCATGCTTCAGATAATCTACACACCCAAAGAAAGCAGGGGCTTCTCTTTGTTCTCAAAGTATCCTGTCACATTGGTGGCTGGAACACCTTTCAAGCTTAGTCAGTACATTTACCATCTACTGTATTGTTTTGTGTTTTTTTTTAATTTTTATTTATTTATTTTATTTTTGGCTGCATTGGGGCCTCGTTGCTGTGCAGGGCTTTCTTTTAGTTGCAGCGAGCGGGGGCTACCCTTCGTCGTGGTGCACGGGCTTCTCATTGCGGTGGCTTCTCTTGTTGCGGAGCATGGGCTCCAGGCACGCAGGCTTCAGTAGTTGCAGCACGTGGGCTCAGTAGTTGTGGCTCACGGGTTCTAGAGCACAGGCTCAGTAGTTGTGGCTCACGGGCTTAGTTGGGAGATCCCACATGGCATGTGGGATCTTCACAGACCAGGGCTCGAACCCGTGTCCCCCACATTGGCAGGCAGATTCTTAACCACTGGGCCACCAGGGAAGCCCCATCTACTGTATTATGTCACCTTCACTCTTTCTGGAGATGTATTTCTTTTTAGGGACAAGAGAAAAGTAAATCTCCTTAATTGAGTCAAAATGCATTGAGAGAGAGGGAGGCTCTTGGCAAGGTAAAGGTCCTCCAGGCCATCTTTAAGACTTTCCTTTCTCCTAGCACACACCTAATTTTTACCACAAGTTTCCAGTTTAGAAAGAAGTATGTCCACCCAGAAAATAAATCCCAGCACAGACTACAAATGATTTACTTGAAATCCCAGACTGTAGACACTGGAGCAAAAGTTAATGAAATACTCTGCCAACAATCCAAGCTAAATGGAAGAAAATTATTCATTACACAGACTGCCAACTTTCAGGTGTTGGTAGCCAAAGTGAGTAATCAAATTAAATATCTATGGTGATGTAAGAAAGAAGAGAAAATACTGGAGAAAAGTCCAGGGAAAGGGTGCTAGGGCACCAATCATGAGAAAATATTAGTGGTTAGCCTTTATCAGGTGTTAAATAAATGCTAGGGCACTTGCTAATTAGTTGACATTTGTTACTTAATTCTTATAATAAACATATGAGATGTTCACTTAACATGATTCCCTTTTGACATATGAGTAAACTGAAGTTTAGAGTTTAAGTAGCTTGATTAGGTGGCAAATAAGTCATAATGTCTAAATACAAGTGCAATCAGTGTGATTGTTAACCCTACTACACAGAGTATGAATTAATCTGATCCTCATTCTCAAACCGCACTCTTTTGAGAAATTTGGGTATGGTGAGAAAGGGGCAGAGGCAGGGGAGAGAGAGAAAGAGAAGAGACCAGATAACTATTCAAACAGTGAAAGGACTGTTCCCTGCTATTCTGCTCAGTGGTCATGTGTCCTGGAGGGAGCAAGAGAAGGCACCTGGCAGTGCTATTCCCATCCTCGCAGTAGGAGCACCGAAGATGTAACTCTGGATCAGTGTTCAAAGATTTAATTTTTTCAGACAACACAGTTCCTAAAATTAAGCCATGTTAGTGGATTCTAAAACAAATAAACAAATAAAGCCATCAATTCCAACCCAAGAAGAAAATCTGGCTGTGATGAATTAGAGAAGGCACGTTGGCCTCCACCGGGGTGTCTTCCTAAGGCATTTCCAAAAGAAGGTTTTTTTTAAATTGAAGTATAGCTGATTTGCAATCAAACTTTAATGGTTACCAAAGGGGAAAGGGAGAAGGGCAGGAGGGATAAATTAGGAGTATGGGATTAATAGATATACACTACTATATATAAAATAGATAAGCGACAAGGATTTACTGTATAATACAAGGAACAATATTCGATATCTTGTAATAACCTATAATGGAAAATAATCCAAAAGCAGTTTTAACCCTCACCACTTGGAGAACTTACCTTCCCAGTGAGAGGCAGCTCCTCGCTTCTTCCAGGCCCTGTACATGCTCTTCCATCTTAGAAGCTACAGGCTCCCCCAGAAACAGACCCTGAAAAGAGAATGAACTAGTGAACATAGTTGTTTGGGGGTGACCGCAGAAAACACGAAGAGAGAGGCAGGAAAATGAGGTAGGGAAAGGAAGGAGGCTGATAAAGGGTGACTCTTCAAGCAAGTTCCCACCATGTGTAACTGGTGGTTAACTCCATGGAAAAGCACTGGAGGCAAAGTAAAAATTATTTTTTGAGAGTTATCCCCACAACGGATGAGGGGGCTAAGAGGTCACTTGTACACTGACATTTTCAGCACAATTTGCCGAAAATAATCACCTGAAGACTGGAATGGTGGTTACCAGGAAACTGGAATCACAGTTACCAGGAGAATGAAAAGGTGTTTACCAGGGCCTAGGGGGAGGTGGGCATAAGAGTTATTAACCATTAAACATAAAGTTTCAGTTGAGTAAGATGAATAAGCTTTAGAGATCTGCTGTACAACACTGTACATATAGTCAACAGTAATATATTATACACTTAACATTTAAGAGGATAGATTTCATGTTAAGCGATCTTACCACAATAAAATAAAGACAAAATAAATTACCTGGACAACTTTGTAAAAAACAAAATTGCCATACATGGGAGGGTCTACTTCCAGACTTCCAATTCAATTCCATGGATCTATATATGTTTATACCTAAGCCAATAACACACTCTCTTGATTACTATAGCTTTAAAATAAGACTAGAAATTAAATGGTTTAGGTTTTCTAGTTTTCTTATTTGTAAAAATTATTTAGCTATTCAAAGTCCTGTTTGTTTCCATATAATTTTAGAAATAGTTCTGACTTATAGCAAACAACTGCTGGGATTTTAATTGGGATTGCATTGACTCATTAGGTTAATTTGGGAAGAATTGACATCAACAATATCATCTTTTAGTTCACGAAAATGGTATGCTCCTCCATTTATTTAGCTCTTCTTTAATTTTTCTTCCTCTTTCTTGGCCATTTCTTAAGCTTCTAATTGAATTTTCATGTTTAATTAAATTAGTTAATACTTCTAAAACAATGAATAGAGATAACAGACACCTTTGCCATGTTCCTATCTTAGTGGAAATTCCTCTAGTATCTATTAGATCTTAAGTAAGATGCTGGCTTTTGTACTAAATATATATACTTTTTATCACATTAAGAAAGTATCCATTAAAGTTTTTTAATCAGAAAAGGGTATTGTGTACTATTGGAGGTTTTTTTCAGGGAGACAATCACATGGTTTTTTTTCCTTAGATCTACTTATAAGGGGTATTTTATTAATACTAATTCTAATATTGAGCAAATCATGCATTCATTGAATAAATCTCTGCTGATCATGGTTTGTTATTTTCTTACTGTGCTATAAGATTCTGTTTGCTAATATTTTATTTAGTACTTTTGCATCAATATTCATAAATAACATTGGTTTAGTTTTCTCTTTTTGTACTCTACTTATTAAATGCTCTTTTAGAAATTCCTGTTCAAATCACAAGGCAAAGTGTAAACCAGCCACTTTCCCTTCTTGCCCAGTATTATTTTATCCCTGTAAACAATTTTTACCCCTTCCCATTTACCCCCATGCCTCACAAGAGTTCGCACGTATGTGGGTTATTACAGAAGCTATCATGAATAGAAGTGATCAAAAACCATTTCCTGAGAATCAAAACACTTGATTCAAAGGTATGTTATCTTGGTAAGCATCCCAAGATACCCTGAATAATTACAAAGTCTGACATTCTTCCTGTTTCCGTGTCCAAATTCCTGGGCAGGAGACTTATTGGTCCAGCCTGGGTCAGAAAGCCATGTTGCTACTCCTGGACAAATCAAATGTGGTCAGAGGGCAGGATCATATGAAAAACAGATAACTATTTTGAAGGCATATATATGAAGTGGCCAGCTGTGGGTATGGGGAAAGAAAGCCTTTCAGAAGGAAAGAAATGCCTTTTCCCAAAGGAAAGCAAACTGATAGTCATATACAACAGTAACACCTATTAAAATTACATAAGAAAGGGAAGGCCCTATATCATTTATATTGAGTTGAATGTGCCTCCTGAAAATGTAGAGTCAAAAAAATGTCATCCTACAAGTACTTAAGCAAAAAAAATTAACAATTTTTTCCCTGCACTCAGTATTGGGTACAGACCTTGGGAAGATGGGATTTAGCATTACTTACACAAAGCACACCGATAGCGCCACAGCAGGCATATCAGACGAGAGGCAGGGTGAGTTTCTTTCCTGAGACATGTACTAGATAATACACCAAGAAAAACTCTCAAGCCACCAAATGATATGCAAAGGAAAGATCTCAAGTATTTGTAAAATATGTGGTAGTACTCGATACCCTATAAAACGCTATACCAATAATGAGCTAGGGGTGAGGACAAAATTACCCCACCTTTGTTTTTCTCTGCTTAAACCCCAAATAAAAAGGAAGTTCAGAAGATATACAGAAAGGAACATTCTGTCTATAAGGCAATGGAAGTTTATAATTCTTCCCAGATTCAAAAATCTGAAACTTGTTAACTAAGGCGACAAAAGTGACAAGCAGGGCTCACGAATTTGCATAACTAAATGCCATCATTTAGACATTATGGGAAGTAAAAATTATGAGGCATATTTGAAAGGCACAATAACTGGAATCTGATGAACTAAATATTAAAGGAAAATACTCCACAGAGAGCACCTTATTTAGTGAACTCATTATGAAAATTTTATATTAGCATATTTACTGTTAGGTTGTAAACAATGCTCCCAGACTGGCTGAAAACAGCCTTTTATTAAGGAGTAAGGCAAATTTCCCCTTTCATACTTGTCTAAATTATTGTTTCTGAAATTTAATTTCCCACATTTTTTCTCACATTTGTGCAATACTTAGCAGTTTAGCAGCACATTCTCACTCAACATTTACATGACTTTTTACCCCTTCATGGGGTTAAAAAAAAAAAACAAAAACGAGTCTTAAAATGTTTGCAGACTTGCCAAAGGTAGATCAGGTAACTAGTCTGAACTGTACAAATTCTAAATCAGTGAAGTCTAAATAAGTATGATTTGACTTTGTTTTTGTTTTATTCCTGAGAGACATGTATTCCCATATGGCAAAAATTACAAAGGAGAAAAAGAAAGGAAAAAAGAAAATAAATCTTTTCACTTCTGGATTAATTCTCTAAACTCTTAAAGACTATATTTATGAAGGAACAGGGGGAAAAGGCAGAGGGGGAGGGAGTCCATCCATGTTAATATTGGTTGAGCTCAAATGCAATGTAAAATTTATTATTTCTTTTGTTGTTTTTGTTCTTCCAATTTGAAAAGAATTATGTGTGTGTACATATTTATTATATTTGTTCACTTAAGTAGAGCAATGACTTTTTTTCAAGTTTATCTAGCAAGAGCAGATAATTGACACCAAATTGGTCTTTTGAATTTCCAACCAGAATCTTCTCTCCTTCAACTGCTCCTGCAGAAGGATGATTTTGGAGGAAATTAGATTCATTGTTTGCATAAACCAATGTATTTAGCTGGTGGCTCTGCAGGTCCAATTAACTCTTCTAACAATATGGGTGAAATGAGGTTGAGGTTATGTTTGTAGCCACTTAGAATTGTTTTGATTAAATACTCCCTCCTGTATCTTATTTAAAGTAAGAACACATGGCACTGAAATGTATTTCATGGGATGGGAGAGGATGCCTGGGGGAAAAGGGAAGAAAAATATCTGTCATGATATGAAACGCATGACCTCTCATTTATGTATAACCATAAAGAGAAGGCATATTTGCACAAATTTTTTAAAATATTGCACATAACACACTTTGAAGACATCTTTAGTATGTCAATCAATATCATTACTATTGTATTATGACAAATATCATTGATGTCAGACAAAATAGTAAAAGTTGAAGGAGCACAAAGCTGAGAACAAGCGGACCTGTATACTAATGTCCCTAGTGAGTCCCAATCTTTCTGAACTTACTTTCCCTTGTCTGGAAAGAGAAACAACACTCATTTAGTTTCTGCCTCTGAGAAAACAACAAAATATAAGATACAATTGCTGCTCTCAAAGAGTCTGTAATACATTTGGCAAAACAAAGTAATTCACGTAAAAGATAAAAGTAACCACTTGCTAGGAACTTCTCCAAAAACAGTATCATCTGGTTGAGCTTCATAATAACCCAAAGAGGTATAGGCATTATTATTATTATTTCTATTTTACACACAAGAAAACTGAGGCACAGAGTGATTCAGAAATATTAGAAGACCTCTCTGTTGCTTAAGTAACAGCGAGGCTTCAAACCCAGTCAACCTCAGCATGAGCACTTAGCTACCATATCATATAGTGACAAAAAGTCCTATGTGTTCAAAGAAGGGAAAGGCAGGATAATTAATTAGCAAAATAATACACAATGGATAGTTAAGGATTGGAGTGATAAGAGAAGGTTCCAATCATAAGAATATGATGAGCCAAACCTTAAAGGATGAGGAGTATTTGTATGGACAGAAGAGAAGATGATGGAAGTAGAGTGAGAAAACTCAGCATGAAGATGGCAGTAGGTGTGGGGTGACAGGAGGGAAGAACCCAGAAGAATGGCAGTGAGATATAAGGATGGACAGGTCAATTGTGAAGAATTTTGACTACGGAGTTGAAATCCTTCCAACCTCCCCAAACTGACGGCTCTGTTTGCCTGGCCTCCTCTACAAGCTAGTCTCCACAGTTGAGTGTTGCTGCTTCCAGAAAGCAGTATTTAAAGAGCAAGCAAAGACTCCAGTTGTTCTAAGACCCCAATCAAAGCCCCAGCTGGCCTACAGGGAGTCTTTGAACTAACTAGGCAAAAGTGCCCTCAACAGATAAGTACGTGGCTTGGTGAGGAGAGCGTGCCTTTCCCTGATTTAGAGGAGGGTCCTGGGTAGATGCAGCCCTATATGTAGAGCTTGGCTGATCAACACAGACTGATCTCAGTCCCAAGCATCTCTCCAGAAGGATCACACAAACTACTCAAAACTGTACATACCAGCCC